AAATCAAGAGAGAGAAACTCAAAAACCCATTTTGGGTTTGAGTTTGCAGTACCATTGGAAAGATTTTCCCCCATTTTTTGCGTTTTGCCGCTCGGTTGGAGACGGTCTAAGGGCATGCTTGTTTATGGATTTTTTCAATCCAATTTTTTCAACTCAAATATTTAACTCAACTTTAACTCAACCCCACTATCTTTAATATTATTTATATAATTAAATAATAAAAACCAATTATTCTTACACATCACATCAACTTTAATTCACTATTCATCCACTCACATAATTTTAACTACCAATCATTTCCAATCATTTATCACCTACTTTATATCAAATCAATTTTAATCATTTTTATTTTAAATATTATTTTAATATATTTTTTAAATTCCACTAACAATTAACCACATTACTTTTTCAACTTTAACTATAGTTAACAAAATGAAATATTTTGGTTGAAAAAATCCATAAACAAGCGCCCCCTAATGGGTTCGGAACCGATACCGAACCGATAACTTATCAGTAACCGACATTCGGTTACCGATAAACAAGAATCGGTTCGGTTCGGTTTTTTAGCACATCGGTTCGGTTCGGTTCGGTTCGGTTTTCGGTCAAAAAATGCCAGCCCTAGTATAATGTACACATTATATCCTTCCCAAATGCTTTAATAGAAGTACCTTTCCTTTTAGCTACGAGTCATTTCATTGTGAAATCAAAGCTTGCCGTTTTTATCCTGTGAAGGGTTTGTCCCAATTGTTGAAATTGAACTACACTTCGTAACATAGCCCCCTACAGTTTTATTTTTCCAGTATTAATGCTAATTGTTATAATACTATACTTCTGCTATATTTTTATTTTCAGAATTAACATGTACCATCGTGCACCGACCTCAAGAGATCTAAAGACATTTCCCACTGGGCAGCAACTAATTACTTGTTCCGAAGCAAAATGAAAAGAAAAATAAAAGTATTATCTAAAACTGCAGGTGTTGGTAACAAAATCTAAACCAGAAAAAAAGACTTTGAATTTAACACATCAATCAACTTGGATAAAAAGAACAACTGACAAATTGCCAAATGGAAAATATTAACAGTAATAATAATAATCTCTCATTAGAATTTAGAAGCCCGTCTACCTACGATGTCGATGTGAATCTTCGTGATCCCTGTGGACTCGTTTTTCCTTGTCAACATGTCTCGTTCGCTCATATGATGAATAATCAGTGTCATCTGGCCACTTATCCTGCTTATTGGAATGCGAACGATTATTTTGCTGTTTATGCTGTTTGTAATGCCGATCTGAACTCGGTGACCTTTCACCCCCAATATGGGATGAGGCACGCCGTCTTTTTTCCCCATGATGCCCAATAAACTCGTCCTCAATATCAGAACTATAGCTTCTTTTTCTTCTGGGTGGAGATGGGATCTAATTCAAGAAGACATTTTATGGATTGCATGACAAGTAAAGTTTTAACGAACCAACGTTTCGCGAACAAAAGCTCGTTCGAGCTCGTTCGTGTTCGACAAAAGCTCGTTCGTTTGTTAATCGAGCCGAGTTCGAACATAAATTTAGGCTCGTTTAATAATCGAACAAACACTAGCTCATTCGCGAACGTTTGATAATGTTCTCGAACATTTAATTTACTATAATTTTATTTTATTTTTTATATATTTACATGATATTTTTTAAAAAAAAATCTAACGTATAACAACTTTTTTATTTTATTTTTTTATTTTCGAGTTGGAATGAGTTCTGACGAACAAATTTCTAGTTAATCAAACATATTTAAAAAAGTTAGTCCTAAATTATTTGAACACGAACAAACTCGAACTTTGACGAACAATTAAACGAATGAGTTCGAAAACGATGTATTGCTCGAACAATAAACAAACAAAAACAAACATTATTCGAACATAAACGAACAAGAGCTCAAAACGCCCAAGCTCGGCTCATTCAGTTATCGTACTGCACTAATGACAAGCACACAAACGGATTCAAAAGTAAGCTCAAAATTTGAAAGGGAATTGTTTCATTGTTCAACTCTTTTTTTTTTTTCTGAATATATATATTTGTTACCTGAAAACGTGACATGTATCTTCCTTCGGGCGGAGGTGGAATACCAAGCCTTTTCAAATCATCAAATGGAATCTGTCTCCTATTCTCTCACCAAAAGAGTTGACATAAAGAAGCATTAATCGCATAAACACCAATAATATATTTACATTTATGTATTGATGATGATTTCTAAAGCAAGTACTAAAATAATACGCTTATCTATGTTCTCTGCCTCTCTGTGTGAGGAGAGAATCTAAAATACACTTGCACAAGTACGACTGTGTCCATAATTATTTAATTTACACCATTAATATTCTTTAGCATACAAGTGAGAGAGAGAGAGAGAGAGAGAGAGAGAGAGAGAGAGAGAGAGATGAACATACAGTGGAGCTCTAAATGGTCTGTCTCGTCCTCCAAATCGTAGTTGTCCCGACTCTTTCTTGCCACCGAGGCCGCCACCTGTCAAACACGATTATGTTATGCACCACATAGCATAAAGACATTGTGAAGAAAAAACGGTTGCTTACCAAGCCTTCTTGGAATCCAACCAGGCATCAACTGCTGCCGATTATAATCAACTATGATTTCCGAATCGTCAATATAAGTATGATGAGCATCCTACACATAAAATGTACACAATAAGCATCACAGAATTCTCAAAGGAAGAATGACAAACAATAGTGCAGCTTATTAGCACAATTCCATCATATGCTAGTAATTTTACTACTAAAATATACACTCAGATTCCAGCAAAATCATAAATCCTTTTATCTTAATAGCCGCTATAAAATGGAAAAGCATAAGCTTTAGGGGACTTCTCATTTATTTTGAGTACAAGCGGCATATGAAGATATAATGTTCTTTGACTGCAAATTGAAATTCAGCAATTTGTGCTGTGGTGACAAAGATTTAAAAAAACCATATAAGTAAATATATAATATTTTCAATAATAAATTAATTTAACTTATAATTGCTGAAGTCCTGAAATATTGGTACGCTAAAATTAATTCCAAGAGTACTCTATCATCTATAGCAATCATGGGACTCCACCTAGTCCAGTTACTACTATTTTCTAGGGCAATCTTGTATATACCATTCTCGTCTAAAACACAATTTAGAGGGGTCGATCAGTAGTTGGAGCGTATAAATATACAAACAGAAAGGCTAAATTACTTGATAGGCGATACAGAAGAACAAGCAACACATTATGAACTGCATATGAAATTGAATGACCACATGATATACCACCAACAGACTGCATCTACATGCTAAAATTAATGAGTTACGTACAGATGAGGAGTATCCTTTTCTTGGTGAACTACGGTGAAGGGTATGCAACAAATTATGGACTTGAAATGAAACTAAATGAGCATAAAACATGATCATAGGTTGCATTGAACCAAACATACTTAACCTAAGAGTCGTATAATAATGTGCCCTTAACAAAAGAAGACCTTTCATGGTATGGGTTGTACCAATCAATTCCAAATTAAACTCTTGTCAATAACAAAACTCCAGGATCTTCCACTCGACCAGTGGTGATTTTAATTGACCGAAATTCCAACACAAAACTATAGGATATTGAAAGACCATATTCACCAACAAGAATTTTAGAAAGACCAATTTCAATAGGTCTTCTTTTCCAGAAAGTTTATGATCGCACAAAGGATTTACATAAAAGCAAGGCAGCAAATCAAAGAAAAAAAGTAAGACAACACAGAAAAAGTGATAAAGGGCAAAGTTCGGACACCTTGTATGCTCGACGCATCTCCTTCTCTGATTCAAACTCAACAAATGCATAACCACGTGAGGCGCCTGTCACTGCATAAAAATAATTATACAATTATACTAAACCTGTTTCGCGAAGGGGGGATAGGGAAAGGAAAGAAAGATATGATAGAGTGCCTTGTCATAAGAACTGAAACATTCTTAAAATTGCACTGATGCAGCATAGAACTTGAGGTTCTAAATCGCACAACTGCCACTTAAAAAAGGTAACTATGTTGTTGTGTGTTATGAATTAAATCCCTATGCCCAACAAAACAATCAGTAATTCTCGTATTTGTGGCAACAGCACTGACATAAAACCAGCTTCACATTTTGCACTCTATACCCTGTCCTTTTGATATTGCGCAAGCTATGATCTCCGACGTTACACGTGGCGGGCTAGGAAAGGTGATTGGCTGAGCTTATAAGATCTCCAACTCATGTAAACAGCTTGTGAGCTCTCTCTTCAAAAGGTTTCAGTAAATTTCAATAAGCTCGTTTATTTTGACCATTCAATTCAAAAATGCCATCACTGGCATCTGAAAGATTTAGCATCTTAACAGCTTATAAGCTCTTACATCACATTCCCTCGAAATCACTTCATTTGTTCTCTCTGCCTATTTCTCTCAGCTGGATCTAACAGCCATGAATTTTGCAGGTTGTTAACCAAACTCAGAATGACCTCATGCAAAACAATTAAATCGACTACCCACCAGCAACTGGACTTGTCACAGAGGAATTCAGAGCTATGGTGCAGATTGCAAAGGGCACAACTATACTAACCACTCCATTTACAATCTCTGGGACTTGTCACATCTTATTTTTACGAAACGGAAAGATAAACTCGACTATTATTTCAAATTCTGCCTAACAACAATCTTGCTCTTATTGAGACAACCAAAAGAAACCATATGTATTTTCTTAAACATGATTTTAAAAAAATAAAATAAAATAAAAAAAAGTTATACCTATGTGCCTGACCAAACGCAAGTTCTTCACCCTCCCATACTTGTTCATAGCCTAATAAACCACCAGCAAAACGAAACCATACATCAGATATACCATAACACCACATTACTATTTCAAGTTCTACACACACACACAGAGACAAACGCAACTCAGACATTTTAGACGCACAAACAACGCGTACGCATACATCGCGAAGAGTGTCCTCGGTGGTGAGATGAGAGAGGCGGCCGACGAAGATAGTGCAGTAAGGGTCCCCAATGACTTTCGGGTCGCCATACGGGTCGTCTGCGATAAATTGAATAGTAGGATTTTCAGTTAAAAGAAGCAATAAACCCTAATCGGCAACAACTTATGAAGGGATGAGAGGAGGAAGTATGAGCAGCAGTTACATAGGGCGGCGTTGGAGCAGAGAAGGGCTCTGTAGACGGCGTTGTCGTGGGGAAGGATGTCGGTGCCGTCGATGCTGCCGGCTTGAATCGGGTGGTACTCCTCGGCGTAGAACACCGAATTAACGTTGGCGCGGCTCATTTTCAGGCAAAAAAAGGTGTGTCCTCTTCACATTCTACCGCCATAGACTGACATAGTCGACTCGCGATTTAGCTGAAAAATACATGTGTGTTCTTAGCAGAAAAACCTAGCCAACAGTTGAGAAGTAGCTCATACCCATAAAATAATGCACACAGTACAATGTTAAAATAGTTTCACGGTTACCAAGAGCACTTGGATGAGATGGCTTGGGTCTCTTCCAGCTTAACCAGTGATCTCGGGTTCGAGCCCTGGGAATGCAGCAGTGTTAAAACTCTTGAGGGAGAGCTTTGCCGCCCTTGTGGTCCTACCCGGCTCGATTCCGGATTAGTCGGTTCCCCTGTGGATCCGGAAACCGGAAGGTCCCTGTACCAAAAAAAAATAGTTTCACGGTTAGACAGATGAAAAAAAAAAAAAATGTATTTATATTATATTATTAAAATCATACTTCTAATTCATGTTTATACTATTAAATGTCAAAATTTTGTTTATGTTATTTATATATATAAAAAGTCAACTTATTTACCAAAAATAGTAACAAGAAAAGTCAATACACATTTAATGCATATCATATTTGGAAATTATTTATTATATACATTAATTGCTTGCATATATATATTTCCTATCCATATATAATTTTAAAGATTCTTTCCATAAATAATTTTATTAACTTCTGCAATGATTTTAGTGATATCAATTATAATTAATATTTATGGATAATATTTTTTAACCTTTATTTAATTATGTAACTAATATTTTTTTAAAATTAATATTTTTTTTCATTTAAGAGATATTGATCACATCATTAAATGATTATATTGATGGCTAGATAATAAAATTAAAATATATTAGTTATTCTTTAAAATTTTGACATGTTATTTATTTATATGTATATTATTGTCAATCATGATAATGTTTTTATCATTTTTTTGTTTTGTTTTGTTTTGATCTGTTTCTATAATGAACTTATTGTAAAAAAAAAATTTGATTGCATAGTATGTTAAATAAATATAAAGCCTTAGGATCAATATGAGAAAAAATCTCTTGATTATGCAATGGATTTATTTGTTGGCAATTGCTAAATCAATTGTTTTAAAATTATTATGAGAAAATTAAATCCTAAAAAACATGTGTTTGTATTTCACTATTTTTTAAACATTTATACACAAAATTTTATTTTGAATTTCATTACATAAAGAAGACTACCTACGTAACTTTTATAAATAATAATAATGACATTATACGACTATAAATTTTATATTAAAATAATAATTGAGTATTATATGGTGAACAAGAATAAATAAATTTTTTATTTTTTCTTATCAATGAATAAATATGTATTCTATAATCAAATTTATATTAGTATAACATGTTAGCGAAATAATATATTAATTAACATGTTTCTGGCTAAAATAAACGTCACTTATTAAAAGATGTGAAATATGGTTGATCCAAACCTATTGTTTTTCCCCCTAAACGTACAAGTCCTATGAAAATGATTGACTTATTATATGTATCACGTGCATCGTACGGGCTATGCACTAATATTTCTAAATATTATATGATAAGTATGTGTATTTATTGAAAATTATATTGACCTAATGATTAGTTTGACGGAACACAAGAACCATTCATTCCAGCTATCGTTAGGGGTGAGCATCAGTGTGGTTCGGTCAAGAACTGCACCAGCACCGAAAAAAACCGAAAACCGAATCTTTAAAATTTCTTCACCGAACCGTACCGCAATAGAAGGAAAACCCGAACCGAACCAAAATTTCGGATCGCTTCGGTGCGGTTTTTTTGATTAACCAAAATTAAAAAAAAAATAACCACCAATTAATGTAATGTAAGTAAAAGTGCAAAAATTAAGGCGATATTTTATTTTATTTTATTTTTTTAAAAAAGTGACAATTTATGACATTCGGTGCGATTTTGTTAAAACCGCACAATTCAGACAGAAAACCGAACCACACTGAAATATTTGCGGTTTTCCAAAACCCAAACCGCACTGATTACCGAACTCTTAAAAAATCGCACCGACCCGCACCGAATAGCTCGATTCGGTGCGGTTTTTCGATTTCGGTACGGTTTTGCTCACCCCTAGCAATCGTCTTATATTACATTACATGTCTAACACAAGACCGCCTCACCTATATATATTGATTAGTATTCAATCATGTGTATACTCACATATGTAAATAAAATATTATAAAATTCATATATATAAATATTATATTTGAAATCATAAGTTAAGTAATGGAAATATCACATTTTATAAATTTTATCATTAGAAAATCAATATCACAATTATAAAATATATTACTTATTTATAAATCATTATATAGATTACAAAATAAATAAGTATTACGTTGAATGTTATAAATCTAATCATGACTAATAAATTAATTGAAAAAAATATATTAAATTCTTTATTATGATAACAACTAGTTGTTACCCGTGCATTTGCACGGAAAACTGTATGATAAAAAATAAAATAATAAAAAATATAAACAATAGTAAAAATTATAACATAATCATTGAAAAAAAAAAAGTTTTAAGAAAGAAAATTCAAATATAATTAAACACTTCTTTATATACAACGTCCATAATTTTCCGAAGCCCAATCTGATTTCTTGATATCCCAATAAAAAATTTTAGTAAGAGAATATTTTAAATAAGCCACAACCCATTATTTTTCTTATAACTTAAGCTCAAACATTCACATCCCATTGTTTATTAACAAAGCCCAGACAAAATCAAACAATAAATTCTTTTTCGGGCCACAAATGGGTCAAATAAAGTTGATTTCGTTTGAATCCAAGTAGTATCAAGGCTGATGTTTTTTTTTATTGGGCCAAATTAAACATAATCCAAATGCATGGACCCATATAGCACGGTCAAAGCTTCATCCACCACACAAATGTAGAACATTCAACAAAGTGGTAGAGACAGGTATTTAATGCCTAAAACCCTACCACCTGCAACATTTTCGTCGTTTTTTCTTCATTTTTAATCTTTTTTTTTTATTTATCGGAGACAAATACTTGGATCGATTCTGATTTTGTTTAGCCGTTGTAGACATGCTTTTAATTTATACATGTCTTACATCATGAAAAACAAATTTCAGTCCAGTAGTTACTTCTTTGTTTGTCGAAAATTTCTTTGACTAAAATCGAATCAATCGCAATATTGTAGTTTTTTTCTTGTTCTTAGCCAAGAAAATCATATTATCAAATTGCACTGTCATTTGGAACTCAAAAGAAATATGTTGTGTCGAAATAGTTTTTTCGGTGACTGTGATTTTGAGTGTGGAATGCAAAGTGAAAATGTGTCTGATTTTTATTTTATTTATAAGCACCAACATAAGTCTATTAACTAATTAGTTTAAATACCAACAAATCAAGAGCATGATTAGTTGAAAATATTTTGATAACTGGAAAAAATATGAACTATATAATAGTGGCGCATTTGATATGATTTTTGGAACTGAAATTTATGTTCCGCCAACTAAAGATTTTATATTTAGAGTCAAAATTTATGTTTTTATTTGTATTTATTAATTAGACATGTGCTTCTATCATATAAAAATTATTATGGTTTCTTAAGTTATTTTTATCATTCAAAATCAATTGAGATTTAAATTGTATTTTAGCCATGCAACGTTTATATTAGTAACATGAATAAAATAATTTATATATTTGTAGCATATATTAAGAAAAGTAACATAAATAAAAAAAATATTGGTGTTTCTGATTTTTAGAAAAAAAAAATATATGTGCCAATCATGCACAGATGTACATATAATATTTTAAGTAATATTTGAGAATTTAATATTAAAATTTTAGATAATGAACATATTACATTTTCAAAAATTTGATCATTAGCAAAAAAATAACGATTTTATTATTATGAAAAATTGTATATTACCATTAGATACTAACTGTTTAATTATTATTATTATTATTATTTTTATTATTATTATTATTACTATTATTAAAACAATTATTTATAAGATTCTAAAGTTGTCAGACTATGCTATTAAAATAATTTACTAATTGTTTTTACAGAAATTTTTTCATGAGATACAAAAGAAAAAGATAATATTGATGTTAAAATAAATAACTTAAAACAATTGTTCTTAATTATGTAATTTATATTTATTGTGAATTATTATTAGTTGGTATTAGCAATAACTATTATATAATATAATAGAAAAACACATGATTATACTATTATGATGTATTAATGTGAGAAATAAAAAATATTAATGATAATTTTTGTAATCGAAAATGGAGGGAAAATGTTAGAGGTTTTATTAAATAGGTAAAATTAAATGCTATATGCTAGCAAATATATATATATAGATTGTTTTACGGAATTTTAAAAAGTTAGCTATGTCAACAAAATTATTAGCTATTTAAAGAAAATATGTTGATGTGAAAAAAAAGGATAATATTATTTTCAAAATTCATACTTTGAATAAAATACTTTAATATAAGGATTTATATAAGTGAGTAACTTAATAAACCTTTTAGTGTAAAAATTATAATCTATATATATATAATTGCTAGCTAATCATTAAATAAAACCTCATAAATAAAACCTAATTAATAAAACCTCATTTATTTTACCTCCAAAAGAAGTTACAAAATTTGTCATACATATTTTGCCTTTCACATTAATACACCCTATTAAATGTAATTATGTAAAGAAAATTAATAGCATTAACTATTATTAATATAATAGCAAAAAAATAGCATTAACTACTATAATAATAATAATAATAATAGTTATTATTATTATAATAATTATAATAATATTAATATTAATAATAACAAAAATAATAATAATATCTTGAGACAATAAAATTGTTTATACTTATGTAATTTATATTTAGTGTGAAATATTATGAGTTGGTAATAGCATTAACTATTATATAATATAATAGCAAAAAAATACATGATTACACTTAATAGGGTGTATTAATGTGAAAGGCAAAATATGAATGACAAATTTTTTAACTTCTTTTGGAGGGAAAATAAATGAGGTTTTATTAATTAGGTTTTATAAATACATGATTACACTTAATTAGGTTTTATGAATGATATATTATTATTATTGTTATTATTATTATCATTATTATTATTATTATTATTATTATTATTATTATTATTTTAATTTTGTATTTCATAAAACAAATTTCTTTAGAAACAATTAGTAAATAGTTTTAATAGTATAGTAAAAAAACTTTAAAATCTTATAAATAATTGCCGTTGTAATAAGAATAGTAATAATAATAATAATAATAATAATAATAATAATAATAATAATAATAATAATAATAATAATAAAGTTTTCAAGTAAATTATTTGACCATGATCCCTCCAAATTATAAAAATTACAGTACCCACAATTTTTTTTAAAATCAATATAGAGATTCATATGTACTCAAATAATTATATAAATATTATTTTATTTTTACTAATGATTAAATCTTGAAAATGTGGTATGTCCATTATCTAGAATTTTAATATTAAATTCACATATCTTGAAAATGTGATATGTTTATCATCTATAATTTTAATATTAAATTCACACATATTACTTATAATATTTTATGTACATCTGTGCATGTGCACAGGATGATAACTAGTTAGTTAATATATTAGTAATTATTATATGATATAATTACATTTAATTAATGCAAAAAATGTATTAATTAAAAAACATTAATTTGCATTTAAAACAAATAACCCTTTTATTACTACAATATTCAAATTCGAAATGATTCAATTTTTACATATAAAATGATCGGTAGACATGGTGATTGTTACAATTAACATTCTTCATTTTAATATATCACAAAGGAAATTATCTTATTTTTAACTTATTTGCTCATTGTTTACTAGTTACTATAAATGCGTTTTCATATCAGTAATTAACAAACTATTATTATTTATTTTTCTCCATATCGTATATTCCATTTTATTAAGGTTAACTTCTCTGTAAATGTGTAAAAATGTCAAGCTTAGCTCGAGCCTTTAAACGAGCATGGTAACTGAATCAGTAAGTAATCGAGTTCGAACAATTCTTTTATCAATGTTAACGAGTTAAACTATAGAAAAATATGTAAAAGAATATTTTCAAACTTTAACAAGTTACAAGTTAGGTTGAGTTCGCTCGTTAACTTAATTAGCTTTCGAGGAGCGCGACTCGCTTATCTACTCACGAGCAAATATTATATCAAATATCCCGAGCTTACGAACAATCCATTTCGTTTAATAAGTCTAAACCGCCCGCCCCACAACGTTCTGCAAAATAATCTATAATTATATAATAAGATATCCTATTTACTAAATTTAGTAGGTTGAAAAGTCAACGTAATTAATGCATTGTTATTTCTATCCAGAATTTTATTTAATTATTTTATTTATTTGTCTTATATCCCATAAAATCGGTTTAAGAAAAAAAAATCTCATAACATCCAATAAATAAAAAAAAAATACGTAAAACCTTTACTAAAATAAAAAAAGGCTTTATTTATTTGTCTTATTCCATAATAACATCGATTTAGTCAAAAAAAATCCCATAAAATCGGTGAAATCAAAAATTGTACGTAAAGTCTATCTACTAAAAAAAGGCGATTCAAAATTTCTTATCTGATTTTTTATCTAATTTCTGTTTAAAATATTTTATTTAATATTTATTTTAATGAAATAATGGATAGGATTGCTGGATCTGAGTCAATTTTGAAATCGCGTTGTTTGGCATGAGAGGATTATCCGCATTCTATGTATGTCTAAAGCATATTACTTAATATTATTTAATTAATTTATTTAATATTTAATTAATTTCCATGACATCAGTTTTGTCAAAAAAAAATTGAACAAACAAACAAAAAAAAAAGGCACGGGATTAATTACCTTCGACTTATAAAAAATTTATGGGTGGACGTAAATATTTAACAATGTTGTTTCAAGTTCCTTAAATAATACTATAACTATGCTCTTGAATTATAATCTGTTTTATGGGTGACGTAAATACGCTGTTTAAAGTTCCCTAAAACAATTTTTTAATAACTATATTGTTTAAAGTTCCTTAAATATTAATATATTTAAAGTATACCAATGTTGTAATATATTAAAGTCAAAACAATGTTGGAAAGCTTTTGAATTATCTAATTTCGAATTATCTAAATTAATTAATTTAAATGTTTAATCCCATTAAATCTTCAATCCATGGAGTATTTTTACTAATCCCGTGAGCATGTTGTTTTGTTATTGTAATCAATTTATACACTATTTTACTAGTAAATTATTTAATATCTATGTACAATGAGGTCTTTAATAATATATGATTGTTTCTTTGTCGAATACTATTTTATTGTATAATTTTCCTGCGTATTATAAAATTTTTATTGAATACTGCATCTTATAATATAATATTCCCCAAATAAATATATCTCGTGTCTCGCACAGGTCCCGTACTATATATATTCCGTACATTATTTTATTCATTTATATAATTATAAGACTAGATAAATAACCTTAAAATTGTGCATCTCGTGCATCACACGGGCTTTGTACTAGTAATGATGATAATAATTATGATAATAATAATAAAGTATGATAATAATGAATAGCCGTTTTATATGCGTTACTTTCCGCCAATGGATTCGACCGTTAGAACATCACACGTCTCCACAGAGATTACTTTCCTTTTACTATCCGTTAGTAAAGTCAGTTGACCTTCTCTTCTTGCCCAAAAATCAATCTCAACTCTCATCACACACACACACACACACACACACACACTTTTTTTTTTGGTTCTTTTTTTTTTTTTGTTAAAAATGGTTGCAAGAACTCCACCAAAGCAGCCGAGGAAGAAAATGGCGGCCATTGCCCCGCACCTCAGCCCGACTCTCCTGAGAGAAACAGTTAGAAAGGTGAATACTTGTTCTTCTTCTTCTTCTGTTTGGATATTGTTTGTTTAATGTGTTTTAAGTTTTCTTTTCTTGGGTTGTGTGTGTTTGTGTAGGTGGATAAATGTATGTCAAGATTGCAGGAGCTTCAACACACGGTAACAGGCGGGTCGAAAGCGATTTCGAGCCCGTTGAGAAGTTCTTACAGGACGAATGTCCCTGCTTTCAAACAGGACTTATCGAGGTAGTACTTCAAATCGTTTTCGATTCAAAATATATTTTTGGATCATATGAATGTTGGTTAGAGTTAGCGAGTGGTGTTCGTATAGGAATTTTTCGACTCGTGAATTTATCTTGAAATGTTCGGAAATCGGTACTCGTTTATTGGAAGATTGTTTTAGTTTAGTTGCTCAAAATTCAAATTTATCAACCAAGCAAAAAGAGAGTAGTTAAAAAGAATCGTAAATGTAATGAGTAATGATCATAGTTTAGTCATAGTTTAGTAAATGTAATGAATAATGATCATAGTTTGAATCTGTCTAATTACTATTGTTTCATACTTTATGAAGGATAAGAAATGCTAATAATCCCCAGAGATCCCCTCCCGGAAAGCTACCGCCGGTAAAAACAGGTTTATCCTCGTTCTTCCTTTTCCGGTTAATCGGAATTTAAAGAAAAAGAATAATGTTGTACATATTTATATTTACTGTTATATTATATCGATGTATGCTCCAGAGGATTGGCGAAGAATGTCATTGCCAGCAATGCTGTTGGGCGAGACAATGAGTGAACTCGTTCAAGCAACTCAGTTTGCAAAGAACATTGTTCAGACAGCAACTCGTCCTAGTAAGATCCGAAAATCATCGGACGACCCGAAAACTCCTCCTCTGGAGAAAAAAAAGGCAATGCGCAACACGAATCTCGACGACACTTGGCAGAAGATGCATGCTCGGAGGAAAAGAGAGAAGAAGATGCAAACCGTGGTGTGGTCAGGGCCCGGTGGGACTTCCCCACGAGCCAAATCCAAAATAAACTTCAAAGAGTGTGATAAAGAAAACTGCAGCAGTTATGTAATAGCAGCTAATCGGGTTTCTCCAAAAAACAGGCCGTGGGCCCGAAAAACGGTCCTTTTTCCGAACCCTTTGTTCCATTCGTCATTACTTTCTTCGCCTACACGAGAAAAAGTTCCAGTGATTGGGAGAAGTGTTCGGCAAACTCCACATAAGTTTCTGATCAAAAGCCCTCCTTTGAAATCGCCAAAGAGGCTAGCAAACAAGATCATGATAATCTCGCCACTCAAGGGAAGAAAAAACGAGGAGAATATGGCGGTGATGAAAGAAATCGAGAAGAGTCGACAGATTGCGCACAAGTTCTTGATGCAAGGGAAAACCAAAAACGAGTCGGCTGCTGGTTTGGGCAAGAAACTTTCACCTCCACCAGCCAAGCTGCGGAGATCATTTTCTCCGTCGAGGCTTGCGAAAAGAATAGTATTGTCGCCTATGAAGTTCAGAAGCTCTATGCAAAAGAATGAAAGGTCTACAAATATTTGAAATTAGAAGCTAAAGGATGGAGGGGTCTGCAAATATTTGAAGTTATTCCTTAATGGTGATTTGTTTGTGTTAAGGTTGTGGATATTTTTTCTTTATAGTTCACCACTGTGAATTCTGTTATTCATTTGATTGATGAATGTGTTTCATATTCGATATATTCTTCATTTCTACGATCATACTTATTCCAACGACTTGATTGTTAAAAAAATATAGGGATGTGTGGTGTTTTTTGTTCTATGCCATAGGAACCAAATTTAAGCAAAACAACCTTGCAAAAGGCACCATGCAAACCATTTGAACCCTATATTCCTTTTCTTTGATTGATGATGAATGTGTGTCGTATCCGATATTTTCTTTATTTCGACGTTCATATATTCTTCTTAATTTCTACGTTCATGCGTTGATGATTAATATAAAAAAAGAGAGTCTAAGTCATTTTGAATTGTGATCTGGCAAGTTGTAATGCGTTGCGTAATCAAAGGACAAACTGTAAAACTGGAGATACGTTTTTACTCTTCCAATGTCTGATAGTTTTAGACTGCATTTGCACGGCTAACTCTAAGTCAATGACTTGATTGTTCAAAAACTATAGGGCTGTGTGGTGTTTTTTGCTCTATGCTCTCACACCTCTCTCATAAAATGACATAGTAACAAAATTTCAGCAAAACACCGGTGCAAAAGGCTTACCATCTCAACACTATGTTGCTGAAATAAATGACAAACTTCTTACAGTGAACATAAGAAAACTCTCTAAAGAGAGTTCATCATCCATCGGTATAAGCAAGCCAGCAAGAAGCCATACAAACACTCGAAAAATAAAAGCACCTATAGAAGAACTACCAGTAATGTAATGAGAAATACACAAGATTTTTTGCAGAAGGGTGTGTTTTCTTCCAACTAAGACATTAACGAACTCCTTCTATATTTCATACTCTTCAACTTCAGAGGGCTCCACACCAGATTTTTCTTCTGTAAGGCTATCACTGTCGGATGCCTTGGTCTCCACGAACCCGGCCCTTGTGAAGGAGGAGGGCTGCCTCTGAATTTACTACTACTGCTCGCACGCCCCACCATCGGTGTCGTAGGAGATGAAACTCTCGAAGTCCTCCACACTCTTTGTGGGTCCCACACGAATGACTGCCGGCCCATTACACGGTCGGGTTTTGACCTCTGAACTGGGGTTGCTGTTGGCATATGCAAGCTGGGTTCGGGCCGTAGAGTAGCTATGGAGGACCTTCTTTTGGGAGCTGGGATCTGACTTGGAGGAGGAGGCCTCACGGCAATGGAGCCTCGTCTCGGTTTCAAAATTTGCCTCGACTTGTTTACTCGCAATAGGTTCTCTTTGTCCTCGTTCACGACTGGGAGAAAGGATGATGCGCGGGTTTTGTTTTTTGATGGAAGAGGAGAATGGGATGGGGGCATCATCATGTTCGAAATTCTTCTGAGGGGCAGCCTCAATTTCGGAGGAGCTAGTGGTGGTTTCTTATCAGTCGAGGCCGCCTTCTGTGTATGATGGTTTGTTGCCAATTGGGTCGGTTGAGAAGAAAGAGAGGCCAGAGCTCTCGTTTCCTGTTTCAACCTGGTTTTCCTTTCCTCTGCCAATTGGCTTTCGAGATCCCGAACCTGTTAAAAGAGTAGCATAAGCAATCTCAGATTGAGGGCTGTTAAATTAAATTTCTGTCTAGTTCAACCTCTCAGTATCTTGTAATTAATGAAAATTAACACTTTGTACCTTCTCTTGAAGGTTTCTGCATAGATGTTCTCTAGCAGCAAGCCTCAATTGGAGAGATTGCACATTGTCCTGCAATTTCTTTGTTTCCTTCTCATCTTGTTTTGTCTTTTCAACCTGTTAATGCGAGGAAGGGGGAAAGAGAAGCAAGAGAATTTATTTTCAGGGTTCAGTTCTGCATAACTATTAACAAGCCTTCCCAGAGGATGGTTTTTGCTTCATACCAGTTGCTTGTATTTGAAAAGTTCTGCATGATCCTGCTGTTTCCGGGCAGGTCCATGTTCAACTCCCCTGACGCGACTTGCAAAATTTAAGGAGCAAAGAGTTTCTCCAAAGTCAGCTGAGTTTGGGCTGATTTGAACAAACATCAAGGTCTTACAATCTCCTCCTGCAATGGCATGCATACACAGTTTCACTAGTTGTTACAGAAGGATAGTAGTAAATCCGTGTGGAATCGAACACTATTTATCATTTGTTTAAGGGAAATTCCTATAGAACATTCGTTGTATTATTTGAGTGAGGTTATCTGCGTAACAATAATAATGGCACATTTTATTCTAAGCTTGAAAGAGCCAAGGACCTTATTAATCCAACCCTACGGGTAAGAAGTCCAACTAAAATAAGATCTGCATTCTAAATGATACATAAAACAATGAGTCAAGAGCGCATTAAGCATGGCATCTTAATATATAATATATAAGCTCAGACCTACTTATCATTATTTACTCCAAATAGTAAACTCACCTAGAGAACTTTGCAGCATATGAGTAAGTTTAGAGTTCCTGTAGTCCAGAAAAAAAATAATCACTAAACAGATTAAAGAGTACTAAAAGACACAAACATGTAAGAGAGGTGAACAGGAAAATGCACCTGTAAGGAACATGTGTTGTTTTGGAGGCAAGAGCAGAGATAACATCCCCCAGTGCTGACAATGATTTGTTTATGAATTGTGATTCCTTGAGTCTATCGCCTTCAACTTCGATCCTACCAACACGCTCGCTCCCCGCCAGGTCCACCAGCCACAAATGGCTCCTTGTCCTTTGCCCATTAATCAAATTTTCTGCCACAACAGTTACTCGCAACAAGCTGCAATAAATTCCATTCAATAAACCACCATGCCTATTTCAATAAATTTTGTTTCTGAATAAGCTAACAAAGTTGAAAAGAAAAGAATTAAAAAAGAAAAAAAAAAAGAAGAAAAAGATGCACATTGCTTCTAAGTAGTTGTATTTACCAGTGAGAACGGCTACTAAGCTCATTAGCATTGGTCGATCCAACAGATCTTACTTGACTTCCTGATTTGAGCAGGCCCCAAACTTCATCTGTACCATATACTTGAGCTTCAACAAGTCCAGGGACTTCTTGAGTTCCCTCAGCTGATTGCTTTATATCCAACCTACATTTGCAGAGAAGAAGAAACCTTTAAACAATGAATGATATTAACTAAGTCATAATTAAGCACTGCCTACCAGAGTACAATGTTAAGTCAGTGCCGGACTGGATTAATTATTATGAACGTAGACCATCTACAGCCCAAAATTTAAATTTAAAAACCGAATTGATACTTTTAATCTTTTTAGAGGAAAATCTCTCAGGCATGGTAAAAGCAAGGTTAATCCATTGCATACAATTCAATAAAAGAGACAAGCATGCTAACATACATAGAGAGGCATACAATTCGATAAGAATCAAAGGCTTACTTCTTTGCAGGTTGGTTGGAGCTGTCAACCAGGAGATCTCTTATCTTTTCATTATAAACCTCTAACATGCTGACAAACAATTCGTATCTGATAATACTGCTCCTCTCATTGGAAATTCTGAATAGCTCTTCCAAAGTCCTATAGTTTACACCCCTATCTTCTGGTGTTCCTTCCATTGTGTATGTCTTTCCCGTACCAGTTTGTCCATAGGCAAATATGCACACGTTGTAACCATCCAAAACAGAGGTCACTATGGGCAGAGTCTGAACAAAAACAGCATCTGCATGTAAGAAGTGGGTCATGAGATCAACAACAGAAACCTAACATGAACAGAACTAAACTGTTCGGCAGAGATCTAAACAGAAGGGATTACTACTTCAGGGCCTCAGGCAGATGCAAATCAATTCCAGTTGTAAATAGCATTACCTTGGTCGTCCTCAGGACGAAAGACATGATCAAATTTGAATTGCTTTTTGGAAGAATCGGAGCAAATAATCTGTAGCTCATTCTCCTGAGATGATTCAAAATCAACCACCGAGGAGGATCCTTTTGCAATCTCATCTTGTTTTAATGGCCTGCACCTACAGAAGACCCTGATATTTCCCTTGAGTTCTATCACTTCATTGTAAAGCTTCTTCCTTTCTGTGCATTCTTTGAGATACTTCCTTTTCAGAAACTCGCACTCGTCATGGTACTTACTTTTTAGAAGTTCAAATTCTTTGCCTGAAATATCGCGCCCAAAAATAACATGTGAATCAAACTATCAACAAAATAAAAAAAAGGAAAGAAAAATAAGTAAGCAAGTACAAATAGGATAAGCCAGATAACTAAATCAGAAGAGATCATACTGAGATTCTGAAGAGCTGTAAAAGCTTCAGAGCCCACTAAAGAATCACTCATGCTCTTTACTTCATTGCACAGACGTTCATGTTCCTTCCTAATGATCTAAAAAACAGAATAACTAATTAGTATCAAACGAAGGAAACACAAACTGGGTGGAAATCCGGTCCACTGTCGGACTTTACCTGTACTTTACTGCTCAGATCCTTGATTTTCAAAAAAATGGGAAGAGTCTCTCCCTTAGAAGAACATGTTCCATGTGTATCATCAGAGGCACCACTACTTTCCAACAAATCACAACTCGATTCGAGTTCTTCTAAGCACAATCAACAAAACAAAAGAGAATGAGTTCTAAGACATCAGTACAATTTCCAGCACATCAATTTAGGCAACCTAATTCTTGCCCGTAACATCTTAATTTCGCACCAGAATTCTCAATTTTTACACGAAAACTTTAAGCGATACCCCATCACATTGAATTTCATGACTCAAGAATGCAAGATTCTGGCGAACAATATCTAACATAAAAAGGAAATGAAAAATAAGAGGGGGAGGACAAGATACATACCGGACTTCTCATTTGGAGTCTCTAGGGTTCGATCTGCATCAATTTCTTCAAATAGAAAAAGAAATGCCATCAAAATCTACTCACATCAAACTAACAACAGATCTAAACATGTGTAAACAGAAACGGATCAAAACGAACCAGGATCAGGTGTACATAGATTGATCGCATGATCAAAGCTCGTACACAGGGTGTCTAGGGTTTGATCTGCAAGAAATATCAACGAATTAACAGATTATCTAAAGAACAGCAAGATCTGTGTCGCGTCCCCGAGAGAGAGAGAGACAGAGAGAGAGAGTACCATCCATGATGACAATCGAAACTGCTATTTGTCTGCTTGATCGAGTGATAATCGATGAACTGAAGAACAAATTTCAGAGCTCAAGTTGGGGAAAGAGAGAAAAAGAGAATGAGATAAATGTTCTTCAAACGGTCTGTTGGGAGGGGATTTGTTTTTCCCTTTTCGGAAGATGAATTTGAATTTGGAACAATCGCAACCGTCCGATAAGCGCTCTATGTAACGGCTATAAGATCGAGGCTCAAGCTTCTTGACTGGAGCGGGAAGAAAATATTTATGATGGAAAAATTCATTTTTTATTATTAGGGGACCATTTCTCAATTTATGCGTGTCATCCTTGCGTAAAGATCATGCTAACCATTTTGTTTTTATTAGGGGGAAAAGAAAAATGTGCTTATAGGCATTTTTTTTTTGCTTTTCCAATCTATTTTTTTTTCCACATAATTGAAATTCACCAAAATTCATAAACATAATTTTGAGTACATATTGATAATACGTGTGTATTTTATTTATTTATTTATTTATTTTTTGCAATATTGCAAAGCAAATCATGGTTTTTTGTGCGGTTCAAGTTACATTTACTAAAAAAAATATATATTTTAAATTTTGCGGAAAATGTACTTTTTCCTTTAAAATTAGGTCTAATTGCACCAAAAACTCCCACCTTTAGCTTCATTGCAAATAAAGCTCAAGTTTTTTAAGTTTGCCAGTAAATACCTGACCTTTTTGATTTGTTGCAAAAAAAACTCCGATGGATTTTCCGGCAGCTACCTTGATGAGTTGGCCGACCAGATGCTGATTTGGCAGATAAAAACTGACGTGGCTCTCCATTAAATTAAAACATATATGCTGATATTACACTTAATTTCCATTTCATCAAATTCCAATTTCCCAATTTTTCTTTCGTTCCCTAATCCCTAACCCATCGATCGATCTCCTTCCTTCACAGAAGTTCGAAACTTTGAACAATGTCGGATTCTTCTGGCACTTGCTCAAACAATCGGTACTTCCGAACACCTGACAACCCGATTGAACCGATGCTATGTGGTCATGGTGTTGAAGCTGATGTATTTACATCGATGACAAGTCAAAACCCAGCAAGAAGATTCTGCAAGTGTCGCCTCGAAAAGGTAAAAATTAAGTTAGATTTTTCAATTAAAGAGAAGCCTGCATATTTGAATTGAAGATGACAGTTGAAGTTAAGTTAGGGCTTTTTTAGGGTTCTTAATTTTTCTCTTCTCTGAATTTGGTGATATGATAATTTCCCTGATTTTCTTTTTAGAATGAGAATTGTGTTATGGAGCCTTTGATTTCTTTGATTTCCTGCTATTTTCATGTGGGCTTGAGGCATTTTGAAATGCCTCAGTAAGCTGATTACCTTCTGAGTTCTACAGGCAATCTATTGAGTGATTTTTTTTTTTCTGAACGAGCCGTTTGTATCACTTGTCTGGAATTTGTTTGTTTGTTAACTTTTTCTGAGTGTGATGATCTTGTTAATGGTCTATGGACTTATAGTGTGATAATATTACAAATTTAATATTTAGCTAATGTCCACACTTCCGTTTGATAAAAAATGTTTTTTTATTTTCCTTCACAAATGTCACTACTGAAGCCTATTTTTTATTTTCTTCACAAATGTGACATATTGGCTTGTAATGTTTTGAATTAATTTAACAATCATCTACTTTTTTTCAGTCATGTTTCGTTTGGATCGATCCGGAATTGCCACCCTTTCAAAAGGCTTGTTTTGTTAAGCTTAAGGCAGAAAGGGACAAATTGCAAGACCAAATAAAGTGCAAAAATGTAATGGAGAAACTTCTTTCAGAGAGATTGGAGTTAAAAGATAGTGAGTTAGGTAAATTAAAAATGGAGAACAATGAGTTGGTGAAGAGGTTGGACCGTGTTGACTGTAAAGCTGAAAGTTTGGAGAAGAAACTACGACTTATGAAACTTGTACTCTTCTCCATTGTTGTTTTTATTCCAATGTTACTTTTGTTTAAGTACAACTAGACTATGAGATTAGTTGTATGGTGACTTGTTTACATGTTTATTTTGTACTATTTTGGTGGGAGTTTGGATCTTTTTATCTTGGCATGTATTTCTTCTTACTAAGTACTATTTTGGTGGTCTTTATCCCACTTGTATTTGGTTTTGTTTCCACTTGAGGTTGTGCTGACATGACATTGTACTTTAAGTTGGAGTTGTGGAATGAAAGTTTCATCATTTGAGAAAAAAAAAAGAGTTGTAACATTTGGTTTCTTGTGATCAGTATGTGTTAGAATTTTGGAAAACTTATGAAGATTAAATTCTTGGTGAATCAACATGTAAGATACAAGATACACCAATAACAAAATATAGGACACCAATAGAATAATAATTGCAGCCTTAAGCAAAATAAAACACTCACTGCTTGTTTCATTTTTTTAACCAAAACAACTGTCATAATTGTCCAATCCCACACTATGACAGCAAAAGATAAAAGAACATCACAAATCTTTTTTTGATTGTTCTATCCAAAACAAAGACAAAAGAAGATCACAAATCATTGTTTTATTGTTCTATCCATCCAAAACAAAGACAAAAAAAGATCACAAATTCTAAATGGCTTCACTTTCTAGCCTTGCAAAACATTTTCCTGTACAGAACTTTTCTCACTTTCATCTCTTAGGCCTGTTGCAATTCTCCTTACACTTGAGCTTGCACCAATTGATGTTGAAAGTGTTGATGGTATTAAGACATCATTCCCATGAGCAGACATCTGAAATACAAAATAGGTATATTAAGACATCATTCCATGAGCAGACAAATGAAAATATACCTAAACACAAATAGGAAAAAATACACTTAATATACCTAAACACAAATAGGAAAAAATACACTTAATAATAATATAACATGCCTGTGACATGGTGCTTGCAACAATTGGTGTTGAATCAATTGAGGGAATGAAGTGAACCTTCCTATTAGAAGACATATGTAATACAAATGAACATACAATCTTATTGAGCACATTTAAGATACAAAAAAATTATTTGACATGATAAAAAGAGAGATGTTCATACCCTCAGATAACTATTTCCTGTTTCTTCACATTGTAGGAGACCAAATCCTTTCATAGCCTATATAATATAAAAATTTAAATTAATGGATGATTTCCTTCTCAATTACACAAAAACTAAATAAATTTTGTTAATAAAGTTTACCATTGCCCTCTGTTTCTGAACAATTGAACCATGTTGATGGTTGACATTCCTTCTAGTTGGTAACTTAGTTCCTCTCTTTGGCTTCATAACAGGAACTCCAGATGAAGATGGAGATTGTGTGTTTTTCTTTGGCCTTCCTCTCTTTTTCTGTCAAGATGAAAAGAAAATGATAGTATACTGTTTGTAAAATTATACCTTGCAGGATTATAATATAAATATATACCTTTTCTTCTTTCTGAACTGGTTCTTTTGTACAAGTCTTTTTGTTGTGACCTTTCTGAAGACAATTTTGGCATGTCATTTGGAGCCCAAATCTCTTCAACTTAGTGGCAGATTTTCTCTCTTCTTCAGGTGCCCTTCTTCTTTTTTTCTTAGGCCTCCCAGGCATCTTTCTAAATGGTGGTGGCTTGATAGGGTATCCAGA